ACGAAGAAGAAACGATACATATCTAAGTAAGTATATTAAGGAGAACTAATTATATCGAAATGTATATAGGCGACGGATGTTAAACAGGGAGCACGTAAACTATGACATATATTTTCGGTAAGTATTAACCTATACATATCCCAAGTAATCGACTGGCATACTAATTAATATTATTTCGTAGAAAATATCTATAGTCTATGCGAAATCAGACGATGAAAAAAGAAAGAAAAAAAAAACTCTCTCGGACATTTTTACACAGATATACAGGCAATGCGTACACATGCAAATAAACATGTAAGCTCGATGCAACGCACCAATACATTCGTAATAATTCCCTCTCTATATATGCACATACATATATATATATATTCGTATATTATAAATTCTTCGAAAAGTTCGGAGCTTCCGATCGCATTATATAGATTCTTAGGTTATGTTTTCTCATCTTTCACAATTATTTAGGAAATATGTAAGAAATGAAATTTAACGATAGTAATCGTTGATCCTTCGTACGACAAACATATTCTTATCTTAGTATAAGAAAAAAAACGACGTACTAATCACAATGATTCTAATTCGATGCACTACTGTTCTATGTCGTAAAATTCTTGAAAATCTCTGAAAAATGCGATTTCATATTGATAAAGGATACGATAAAAAATGTATTTATTTGTTTGTTTGTTTGTTTGTTTGTTTGTTTGTTTGTGTATGTATGCGTGTGTGTGTGTGTGTACAGTATACTCCTAGTGTATACCATTAGGTATATTTGAAAATCAACATATCAATTGATCGCAACTATAAAAGCAAAATTATTGATCGGTGCGTCGTTAATAATAAGAGATAATTATTGATATCGTGAAAATAATGTGAAATAATTAAAGAAAAAAAAAATAATGAAGAAAAAAAAAACTTTAATCGTCTGCAAGGATTAATGATTTATTGCATTATATGATTAAAGCAAATGATATTAAATTTAGACACATTAAATGTTCAATGATCAACATATACAAAATCTTTCAATCGTTTCATGCTCTTTTTGTTACGATTTTTGATAATAGCCTGCTATATCTCGAGGAACATCAGTTTTACGTGAAAACTTTAATTTTCGTAGATCTAAATCATTTTAAGGTTATGTTATAGTACATACATGTACGAATATATTTTTTATAAAATTAATATATTAAATATGAATATTGACTTTTGATTGTTTTTTGTTTAATTATAAAAATATTTTTGTATGTTCACAGATGATTGTTAACAATCAAATGACAATATATTATATGAAATACGTAAATTATTTCGATTTATTCTTGCTTAATTATAAAATGTTTTTGATTTTATATATTCACAGATGATTATTGATTTATTATAATGAAATTCGTATGTTATTTCGATTGCTTCTTGTTTAATTATAAAATCGTTTAAATGTTTTATATTCGTAGAGACATTGTATATCATACAAAGAAATAATTTGTTTTATAAAAAATAAAATTATTTCTATTTCGTTATAGACGATATTTTTAATGATATTATATATTATTTCTTTCGAAATAATATTGAGTATAATGGATAATTTTTTTTTTTTTTATATAAGATATGTATATGAATTATGCCAATGATTAAGGTTTCCTTTTAATTTTGATTTCAGGATAATTTACAACAAAGGACGTGCTAATGTATCAATGTTGATTTAATGATAATAAAATATCATATGAAGGGATCTACTATTTATCAGGTATGTACGTAAGATCGATATAAAATGGATTTATAAATTTTTCTTTTAATTAAGATCGATTAGAAGAAATATTTTTGCGATTGCAAATTCTCATTGATATTTTATATTAGAGAAAAATTATCCCAATTATTTTCATACATTACCCATTCATACGTCACGTTATCTACATAGTTTTTTTTACATGTTTATCGACATTCGTCTACTATGCAATTGTATTAGTCGATAAAGTAGTATTATTCGCTGACGTTATAGTTTCGTGTTTACCATTCGAGGGATAATATATTACATGCTATGATAAAAGATAGAATTTGTAAAAATCTTGTGGATAAAGCAAGGTCGATAAAACAGTTAAAACTCGAAGTAATTCATAAAGTGCACAGAATGTATGTACATACACACACACACATATATATATATATTTCTTTTTTTCTCATTGATAATCAGCACTTTTTATTTCCTCTTACTTTTTCCTTAGCTTTCGTCATTTTTCCAATTTTTCTTTGTAATAAAAATAATAATGAAAGCCGCAGAAGAGAAGCAATATAAAAAGAAAATTTATCTTTTAATTAATATAATGATTATACGAATATTTTTATTTCATTAGAAAAGAAAAAAGAAAGAAAAAAAAGAGGGGTGAGAGAACAACAGACGCCATATGAATTTACCAGAGAATTTTATTTATTTTATTTCTTTTTCTTTTTGTTTTCTTCTTCTTCTTCTTCTTCTTCTTCTTCTTTTCTTCTTTTCATCGTTATTTTCTCATAAACATTTTCTCATATTACGTTAACTCTTTCGCAGACGCATTTCACGTTCTTAGATCATTTTAACCCCGTCGAGGTCGTTGTACTCGAGCATGGAAAAATCCACGACACGACGCTTATTAATTTTCACGCGCATACTCTTAACGTTTACACGCTGGCGAACACACGTACTTCGAAAGCGTATTCCGTGGTACAAGTCCTTGTTGCTCGGTCGCATAACTTTGCATAGCAATCGAGCTGTGTGGAACTCTCGCTCTATTTGCCACGATCCGGGACTTTATAACACGGACCAGAGATTAAACTGAAGGAAATAGAGTTAAAGAAAAAGAGAGATATATATATATATATAATAAAAATATCGATTATATGGTAAAGATATTATATTTGTTATATAGTAAAATGTATCGTATATTTTATTTTGATCGACAGTTTCGTTATTTGTTTTGGGAGAAGTAAAAAAAAAAAATATTCATATATATAAGTATGAAATTATTTTGTAAGATATAACATAAATAAAAATGTTCAATCAATATCCTTAAAATTTACTAATCTACTTAATGCTACATGTATTATACGTTGTAACGGATGGCCCTATAATCTGGAACGGAACAAAGTTGCGTTCTAAGTTCATGGAGGAAGTTAATCTAATGCCTAAACATCACGTAAGTTTGGATGTTTATCTTTCTGACAATATTAGTTAGTTCTTCCGCAATAAGGATGCACTTCATATATATATATATATATATATATATATATATATAAATATATATGTGTGTATATACATATACGTATATATAAATATATTTCAGATAAGTTGAGCTATGAAACGTATATATTTATAACAGTAATGAGAAAATTGACAATCAATTAAAATGATCGTCAGAGACTTTTATCAAAAAAAAAAAAAAAAAAAAAAAAAACAAAAAAAACAAAAAAAAAAAATTTTATTACAATTAATCAGGACAAATTTCTGATGAAGAGAGATTACGATCATACTAATTAACCAGGACTGTAGACAACCTGTAATAACTCTCTTATCTTAATGTACACGAGCTTGCATTAGATCGTCCAACGGGATAAGTATTGCCACAACATTAAGCTGTTATCGCTTAATTTACCATGAAATCCCATTAACGAAGAAGCAACCTTTCCATTTTAATGTATTTTCTAACAAACAAATATCCAAAAATTGTTTCTTTCGAACGATTAAACAAATATTATTATTATCAAAAGTATATATAAATTTTAACATATACGTATATATATATATATATATATATATATATATATATATATATATATATCTATCTATATATATATATATAAATAAAATACTTGATGATATAATTGCATTGAATTTTTCTAATATCGTTAACAAAAAAAAAAAAAAAAGAGAAGAAGAAGAAAAAAAATAAAAAAGAAAGAAAGAAACAAATTAAACAAACTGATGATACGCAACAATGAAACATTAAAATATATGATAATAAATTTTAACTATGAAATAAAAATTAATAATAAGAAATTAATTATTACACTTTTTTTTTTCTTCTTTCATTTTTAAAGAGACTTAATATTTATTTAGACGGATTTTGATTTAGAAAGAAAATCTTTTCTCTTTTTCATCTTATAATTTTACTTTTTCGTTTCTCTCGAAACGATAACAATTAATCGATGATATTAAACATAATGATATATATATATATATATACACACACACACACACACACACATACACACACACAGACACGCATACACGCGCGCGCACGCCCTCGCACATAAATTATATATGTACATGATTTAAGTCAACCTTGATTTTCTCCGTCAATATTATAAAAAAAAAAAAAGGAAAAAAAAATTCACGAAACGGAAAAGGTTACGAAAGCAAATGTTATCTATTATTCTAATAGCGAACTATTTAGAAACAAAAAAAAAATATTATATCGTACGTTTACAACGTCCAATTGTAGAATTCGAGTAGAATGAATCGCGCTCAAGTGCATCGTTTGTGAACGGCTAAACTGGAAGGGGAGGGGGGAGGGGATAGGAGGGAGGGTGGCGGGAAGAATTGCAATGGAGAAACTGCATTCCGTAGAGATAACATACAACAACGAGGAGGGGCCCATCGGTGTTATCCGGTATAATGATTTGCTTGGTGGAACTTCGCCAAGTGGGTCATCCTTGTAATTGTTGTCGCTTTGCTTGTCTTTCGAGAGTCGCGTTTCCAAACGAAATGCAATTATCATGGACCAAAGAGAATCGACAAAGTGCTAAATCTATCCAATTCGATCAATTTAAATCTTTCTCTTTCATTTCCTTTTTTATATTTTTGTTTCTTATTGTGTCTTTTTTTTTTTTTTCTTTCTTTCTTTCTTTCTTTTTCTTCTTTTTATTATTATTACTATTATTTCGTTTTTTTACGTGTCTCTCTCTCTCTCTCTCTCTCTCTCTCTCTCTTTCTCTCTCTCTCTTTTTATTTCTCTTCAATCGTTTGCTTTGATTCTGCATTTCTTTCTCTCTCGTTTCTTCTCGTATTTACCTTTTTTTTTTCTTTTTTTTTTTTTTTTTTTTTTTTACACTGTCGTAATAAAGTTATCGAAGTGTTTTATATGACTCGGGATAAAAGTGCAATTCTTTTGTTAGATTTTTATTAGGAAATCGACAAAAGCGTAACGTTTGTCAGGTACATCCGACGAAAAATATTTCACAGCCGAATACACGTTCACTCATTCTATCGTTCTCTCTTTTTCTTTTTCTCTTTCTTTCTCTCTCTCTCTCTCTCTCTCTCTCTCCTTCTTTCATACTGTTCGTGTATCAAAACGTAATAAAAAAGTATGTGTATATTTATGTATATATATATATATGTGTGCATGTATGTGTGTCTGTATGTGTATATATACATATATATAATATATATGTGGATATGTGTATGTATCTCATTTTTTTTTTTTCTTTCAAAAATATATCATAGATATAAATCTTTTTCGTCTAATCTCTCGTGCGATCATCTCGTGCTACGCTAAACTCTGCGGCGATGCCCTTACCGGTTTTGGATATAGGAACGTTATGATGATACAAACTGAAAAAAAGAATGATCGTTAAAGTGTTTAATGAAATTCAATATTTTTTAATTCTAAATTATTAATTGATCGTTTATATTTCATCATAAATATATATATATATATATCTGCTTCGTAAGATCTAAGATATTAATTGTATTATTTATTATCAATGATCGAGCTTTATCATTAAAAATAAATAACTTTCGTGATACTTATCTTATCTAAAAATAGATTTATTTTTATTAAGGAATATGTATCGGGTAATCAGTAAAGATATATCAAAGATATTACCTCGTTAATATATATATATATATATATATATTTATAGGTATTACACGTGTATCGATAAAAAAAAAAAAAAAAAAAAAAAAAAAAAAAAAAAAAAGAAGAAAAAAAAAAGAAGAGAAGAAAAAAAATTTAAGGAAATTCGAATGATTCTCAATCGTTATTAATTTATCATCATATGTATTATGTATCGTAAACGTTAAATATATTAGAATATATTTTATTAATATTATTTATTATAATTGAATTGTTATTATCGATCGAGGAAGGATCGTAATAAAGCAAGGTCCTAATAATAATAATAATTAATGTGAATCGAAAAATGTGTTAATCGATATAAAGGCAGGGAGAGAAAGCGGGGACGGCGGCGGGGGGGGGGTTTAAAAACAAGGAGAGAAATATTTTAAATGAATAGATATATTTAACTTACTTATGAAAAAACAGCCAAGACCGAGGAAACCTGCGAGACACTCGAAATCAAGAAGTGCCGAGAAAATAACATTCCCCAATGCGACTCCTAAGTTTCCGGAGGACGTGATGATACTCATACTTGTGGCCCTTAAATTAATGCAACCATTCGGTTAACGGAGCACGTCGCGAATCTCTTGCATTTATAATAGCTTTTTATCTATCGTTATTCCAGTGGAATGTTGCCCCCATGATAGTGAAAAGCGAAAGAATGAAGGAAAGAGCAAAAAAAAAAAAAGACAAAAAAAAGAAAAAAAAAAGAGATTAAAAGAAATGAAATCTTTCTCATCCCCCTCTCCTCCCTCTCTCTCTCTCTCTCTCTCTCTCTCGAGAGAGAGAGAGATATCCTTATACTAAGGCGGGGCGAGGGGGAGGGGGGGGGAAGGGAGATCAAGAGAAAGATATGTAAAAACGATTAGACTTATTTTATACTCTTAGGTATAATTATTATTTTTATCAAGAAATTTCTGTCTCCGTAGAGTTCGTTTAAAATTTTGAAAAGAAAAAAAAAAAAAAGAAAGAAAAGAGAAAAAAAAGAAAAAAAAAACGTTCCAATCTGATATGAAAGTTTAAACGAATAATTAAATGAACAAATTGCTGCACATTGTGTTTATAGAAATTGATATATGTTTATAGAAATTGATATATGTTTATAAAAATTGATATATGTTTATAGAAATTGATATATGAAAAGATTTTGTTCGTTCATTTATTTGTTCATTTATTTGTATCTTTCTTTTGTTTTGTTTTGTTTTGTTTGTTTTTTCTTTCTTTCTTTCTTTCTTTTTTTTTTTTTTTTTTTTGGAAATCTCAGATTACTCGAAATATCGAAGGACAATTAATTTCTCTCGTAAGAATGACGAAGATTGGGATTTGAGATGAAGATGAGGGATGATGATCTTGATCGAATCGTTTGAGACATTGTTAATGATTTTATAATAAACGTTTATAGTTTTATTTACGAGGTATTACCTTAATGGTATAGGAATAACGTCGGCATTCACCGCGTTAACGACATTACTCGCTATTCTTGATGTCACGATAACGGCGGCTGCTAACGTCAGCATATAGGGAGGTGCCTGTGCCCAATTTATTCCAAAACTGCTTGCCAGCGATATCAGGAAGGCCGCAACTGCAACAGTAGTATCTGTTAATCTACGAATTAAATTCAAGACGTTATTCGATTCGTCATTGTCCTTCATAATGAAACCATTAATTATATTTATATATATATATATATATATATTACTTATATATTTTGTCATAACGTTAGACAGGCGTTCTAATTAATATGAATTATAACAAATGTGATCGTTCGTTTATCGATATATTTAATTTAATTAAATGAAATTTTAATAGACCTTTTTAAACGGACGATCAATATAATGATATATTATTTTTATCGAACGTAAAAATAATTATTAAATAAATTAATAAATAATATTATTATATAGATACATGAGAAAGTGTATCAAGTCAAAATTATTATAGTAAAAGTAAAATAAATGAAACGTCGTAATGTATTAGGCATATTATCCTTCCTTTTTTCTCTTCTTTTTCTTTCTTTTTTTTTTTTTTTATTTCTTCTTTTTTTCTTTTTTTTTTTTTAATCCCTTTAATAATACAAGTCAATTTCTTTCCCTGATAGATGATACTTTTCTAATGGAATTCAATAAAATTGAAAAGTTTTCTGTCGAGATAATATGTTATTATTTACAAAAAACAAAAAAAAAAAAAAAAAGAAAAAAAAAAGAAAAAAGAAAGAAAGAAAGAGAAAGAAAATTCAAGAGATCAATTTTTACGTTCAAAATTTAACACTTACATTATACTTTAAATAATATAAATGTTTTCCCGTTTTATCAATAATTCCGTGACTGGGGATATACTCTTTCGTTCATCTATCAAAGAGATACAAAATAGTTTCTAATTATAGTAAATATGAAAAAAGTACTTACATAATATCATTTGCTTTCGTAATCTCGTCGTCATTAGAAATCCCATAAGGAAACCGAAGAGAACGGCGGAGGATGCAATTATCGTTGAATTTTGATAAACGACAGGATTGATTTTCCACTATGAATAGAAGAAGAAGAAGAAGAAGAAGAAGAGAAGAGAATAAAGAAGAAAATCAGAGAAGAAAAAAATATTATATAATAAATATATATATATATATATATATATGTCAATCAATAACAAAACATAAAAGATAATGATACAAAAACAATTATATTATTTTATTAATGAAGCATTTTTAATTACGAATATGAGTCATTTAACGAAGAATACATAATAAGCCTATTATCAGTTGATCAGTGATATCTTTGTGTAAAATAAAAAGTGTGTATACATGTATATATGTATATATGTATATATCTTCGTAATTATCATGCATTTCTAGATCAAGAGGAAAAATAAAGAACCTACCTCGAAGCATGCATCGTCAAAGTTTGTATTGTTTAAATATAATCTGCCTGGCTTAGCGGCATGACGATCCAACATTTCACATATCGTTGGAGCTCTTCCGACAGGTTTCCAATGTTCATAATCGTAGTTACTTAAAATCATGAACATATGTGGGACCCACAATCTCATAGTATTAAAACTGAAAGAATATATCAAAACACGTTGATCTTTGTAACATTAACAAAGCATTTTATTTGTACTCTTTTTTTTTAGGAATTAAACGTTTTATAATATCAAAAAAGTATTCACGATTAAAATTAATTTTCTTTTTCTTTACGTTTATATCATACATTATTAATTGATAATGTTGTATATTGTCGCTGTTATTATTAACGAATAGATATGATTATTATTATCATTATTATTATCATTATTATTATCATTATTCTTATAATGAAGTAAAGAAAAAAAAAAAAAAAAAAAAAAAAAAAAAGAAAGAAAGAATGAAAGAAGTAATAACGTGAATGATAGGTCAAAAAAAGGTTTCTCATTGGATTTTACTTACCCGAGCATACTTCCAAATTGTAGGAAAGTTACGTAGGAGAAGGCTGGTAGATAAGGCGCCGAGAACAAGAGTTTAGTGTTGTAAAGGTCGATTCGCATTTTTTCGAGGCTCGCCCTTAACGTCGGCCGTGATAATTGCGTCTTCTGGACGACCAAAGCTTTTATCTGGAAAACGAACGTGCAAGAGGAGAGAACAATGCTAGAGGCCGACGGTCTCTCTAGAATCCTCCCCGTAGGTGAATTATACATCCGACGCTACCAACACGCCGTCCCGGTATCTAAATGTTCTATTCGCTTGGAAAATCCGATTTTGCCGTTTCTCTGTTTTCTCGAGTCAGACGGCAACCTACCATTCCCTCCCCCTCAACCGTTTCTACCCTTTACCGTACCGTACCATACCAACCAACCAACCAACCAACCAACCCGGGCCAAGCATCCCTTTCTCACGTGCTTTTGCTGGACGTATCGTAAATAAAAAGTGTCGTTTGTTTTCTACGTGCAAAGATATCTCTCTCTCTCTCTCTCTCTCTCTCTCTTTCTCTTTCTCTCTCTTCTTCTGTCATGGCCGTTTGTTAAAAGTATCAGAGGGTGAATTTAGAGAGAAAAAAAATGAGAAAAAAAAAGAAAAAGAAGGAAAAGAGGAACTCCTCGCGTATTTTCGTTCTACAATAGGGGGATTGACCTTGCGGACAAGTTAACGACCGATAAGACTTTGTCACGTAATCAATCTTGATTCCTACATATATATATATATATATATATATATATATATATATATATATATATATACATCGACGATAGAAAATCTCATAAAGTATTGGCTGGGAATTACACGTAAGCTTAGTTGGAATTATTTCGATTTAGCTTTTTTTTTCCTTCTTCTTCTTCTTCTTTTTTTTCTGGTCCTTTCTAAACGAACGATTTGTCATACGTTGATTCATAAATGATGATAAAATAGAAAGAAAAGAAAAATCTTTAACTCGTGGAAATTATTGTTACGTTAGTTATATGAAAAGAAAATTGTTGGTAGTAAGAATTTTTGAACAATAAATTATTAATTTTATTGTCCAAATTTTATTTTATTTATACATTATTCTATTTTTCTTCATCATCTTCTTCTTCTTATTATTATTATTATCGTCATTTTTGAGTTACAGAACATTGATGAACAACATCGTATATTTAGAAGTAATAAATTAATTATTATTATAAATTAATTATTAATCATCAATCTTTAAATATGAATGATATCATTGGAATACGGTATGATAGGAGTATCATGTTAGACGTGGTATTTTAATTCGATGTATTGTTGTTTACGAATTGAGTTTAGTATAAAAAATTTGATAGAGCGAGAAAGAGAGAGAGAGAGAGAGAGAGAGAGAGAGAGAGAGAGAGAAAAGAGAATGTTCTGAAAATTCAGACGATAGCTAAAATATTCGTATAGGTTTCGTCAGTAGGAATGTCAGAAATTTTGATTATTAACGCGATCGTTTGGCCGTAAACGAGTCCCACGAGATATGAGAGCGTAATATTCAGCAATTTACGAGCATTGATTAAACCACGTCGTTAAAATAGTCTCTATTATCATGGTTCTTCATTACGATGTACGTTGAATGATGAGTTAACGTTGAAGCTATCTATCCATCCATCCATCCATCCATCCATTCATCCATCCATACCAAGCCATTTTCAAAACGATTTATAGTGTAAATTGACGAAAGGGAAAATGATTAAATTCTCATTGATTGGTTTGGAATAGTGAAGAAGGAAGGAAGGAAGGAATAAAGGAAAGAATGAGAGAAAGAAAGAAAGAAAGAAAAAGAATTTCTAGGATAAGGATAGAAAAGAAAGTTATTTCCTTACTATAACGCGAGAGAAGAATTAGAGCGTTACCCGTTATAATTACTTTTACGATCCTCAATCTAAGAAAACTTTTCTACCTATCCTTTTTGCTATGTTTCCAACGTTAACAGTTCGCGTAAATTCGATCTTAGCGAAGGTTCAGAAAAGTTACGTGCGTTAGATGAAACTTTCGCGTTAAAACTTGTCTTTAATTAACCGATCGACATGATAGGAGAATGATATACAGGGTGAGTCGATAACAATTTGTTGGATAGTAAGAATTCATGAAATAATGATTGAGAAAATAAAAAAAAAAAAAGAAAAAAAGGAAAGAATTAATAAGAATAGACCGGTTATTTCTGTTTGATTTTTTTTTTTTTTTTTTTTTTTTTTTTTATATACAAAGAGAAACGATTTATATGTAATAACATATTGTTCATTATTTGTTTTTCTTCTTCTTCTTCTTCTTTTTTTTTTTGTCTTTTTTTTCCTCTTTTATCGATCTATATATATATATATATATACATAATTATGTGAATAATTATTATGACATGTAATTGTTATTGACTCACGCTATATAACGACTACTACATATCGATTAATTACGAACCTTACCGAGAACGTATTGGCCGGTTTTCTTGTGTTCATGGTGTACATTCTACGAAATAATTTTAATGCCTCATCCTGCCTTCCAATTTCCATGAGATGTTTTGGACTTTCAGGTAACATGCTAGCAGTAACAAGTCCAAGAACAGGTGGTATTGAACAAAGAAGTAAATAAATTCGCCAGCTGTTATAGCTTTTACCAAATACATCGACTACCCATTCTAAGGGTAATATAGTAAAGCCCAAAGCTATAAAGAAAATAAATTATTATTAATAATTATAGAATATAATTTCTCTAGATAGTCTTATTATATCTATACATATATACATATATATATATATATATATTTTGTGCAAATGAATATTATTACAACGAGTATTCGATTATTTAAGCTTTGATATTTTAATATTTAATTGATTATTAATTAAATGTTATTGAATAAAAGAAACGAAAATATTTTATATTCTCTTGTTATTATGACTTTTCGTTGAATCAAATCTCATCAGTATGATTATATCAACGTATGATTCGTTTCCTACCTGCTGGTACGATAGTTGCCATGGAAAACAGAAAACCAGACCAGGCGGCGAAACGTGGTTTATATGTTGCAGAGTGAAATTCTGTTAAGTATCCCATCACCATCGAGGGTGGACCACCAGCTCTGGAATTTATATGTGTGTCTCTTTGTGTTTGCTTGTTTGTCTCTCTCCCTCTTTCTGTGTATGTGTGCATATATATATATATATATATATATATATGTCATAAAGAGAAATATAATAGATGCATATAAGTGGACGCGAGCGTGCACAGGCATATGCACGCACATATGTATATACGTGAGTACGGTTATAGGAGTAAAAGTATGGTTACGTCAATTCCAAATTATGATATAGTAACGTCAAATAAGATAAGAAAATTATTCTCTTTAAGCTTTTTAAACGAGGAAATAAAATAGCACACGTAAATCATTTGTGTTGCATGTTAACTATCCTTTTTTTTTTTCTTTTTTTCACCACTCTTTTAGTTTTTCTTCTTCCTTTTTTTTACTCTTTTTTTCTTTTTTCTCTTCTTTTTTTTTTCCTTTCTATCCTATATCATTCGTTCTTTACTCACATGACACCGCTGATAAATTTGATGAGTAAGAACACGTGATACGAGTCTACAGCAGTGCTTAGTATATTTAGGATGGAATCCGCTAGTAAGCCAAGAACGAACAAGGTCCTTCTGCCTACGTAAATCGTCACGTAATCCCACAACGAAGCAGTGGCCAGCATTGCTATTGATAAGACAAACAAATACATCGTTTTAGTTGTTGTAATTGTTTTATTTTATATGATCAAGAATCAAATTTCGAATCCGTGTTTTTATCATGGAATGAGTTTCATAGTGTGTGCGTGCGCGTGTGTGTGTGTGCGTGTGCGCGTTTCTTTTTCTTTTTTTATTTTGTTTTCCTTGTTTGTTTGTTAGTTTTTCTTTTTTTTTTTTTTTTTTTTTTTTATATAACTGATATAATTTTTGTGTCTTGTTCCTTTTTTCTTTTTTTTTTTCTTCTTTGTTGTCTTTGTTTTTTTAAATCAAACGTTATCATTCAATTTCAATGATTTTATGATAGTGCGACTTTGGTTATCAGTGACAAGCAACGTGTTCTCTGATGGACAAAGTTATTACGATAGATAGACAAATAGTTAGTGCAGTTTGAAAGATCTGTGAATAATTGTCGGAGAAAAGGAAAGAAGATAAAAAAGCGAAAGACAAAAAAAAAACAAAAAAAAAAGAAAAAGTTGAAAAAAAGAAAATAAAGAGAAAATCACTTTTACCTATGAAGGGAAATGCAATGAGTAGTCCTTTTCGAAAAAATGTAAGTTGCAGGTCGCATTCGGCAGATGCTAAAATAAATGCGGGTGATGTTGTATCAAAGGCGCCGGTCCATGCTATCGGCAATGCCGCCATGAAGAGTAATACGTTGAACAGTCCAAAGCCTAAAAATTATGTTTTAATTAAGATTACGCGATTGTATTCGTACGTAAGAATAAGTCGTTGTAAGTTCAGACATATTTTCGATCAATTACTCAAAGTCCATATTTGAATTAGATTATTTATTTGGAAATATACGAAATGTTTATCTGAAATATGATAATGCTGAGTGATGAAATCCAAAAGAAGAAATATCGTATTGATAATTTTTTGATAATCTTTAACGTATATAATATTCGACGCATCTCATTAATTATTTTTCGTATTAATTAAAGTGTAGAGAGAAGAAAAAAGAAGAAAAGAAAAAAAAAAAAGAAATGAAAAATGAAAGACAGAAAAAAAAAGAAAAGAAACGGAGAAGAAGAAGAAGAAGAAGAAGAAGAAATAAAAACGTCTTTCGATAAAAAAGAAACCTACCAGTAACCGAAATAGCTCTTTCATATTCGGCAGGTTCATCGACGTTGACATTACCTATCGAAGTAAACAAAAAATGAAATATCAATTTTTAATTTTTTCCTATCGTATGAAAAAAATTTTCCACGTAATATATAATACATATTAATGTCAATCAAAAATTGTACATATAAATGTACATATACACACACACACATATATATATATTTGTAGAATATTTTATTTCTTTCTCACCGGTTATTGTTGAGATTTTATCCTCCTCTGATGTTTCTTTGACCATATCCAAAGATCAAGGAGACAATAAGATTCACTTGAAGATGACGTTTGCGATGAAGAAGAGGTCGTTCGCTCGTTGTCGAACGCTTCCACGCGTTTAAATCAATATATTTACGTAGATCGAAGTTGAAGAAAAATTTTCAAGCTGAAGAAATTTACACATAAACATATATATTTATTTATTTATATACACATACACATTCGCATACATACATACATACATACATACATACATATATATATATGTATATATATATATATATATTATCCGTGATGAGAATTAATAAAAAAAAAAAAAGAAGTCACTCTTCGCGAACTATTCGAAGGAAGAAAAGAAAAAACGAGTTCCTCGACGTTAATCGAAGTTCGATATTCTCGATAAAATTTTGAAAACGTCGCACACAAATTTTCGTATTATAATAAGATTGTTTTATTGGAAAGTGTTTTAAACGTGGCTAGCACATTTTTCGAAGATTCGCGCGGCACTCCGACTCGAGAAAAAAAGAAAGAGAGAGAAAGAGAGAGAGAGAGAGAGAGAGAGAGAGAGAGAGAAAGAGAGAGAGAGAGAAAGGGAGATAAATACACACACACTCGATAGCGAACGAATGAGCTTTTACTGGCAACTGTCCCGTCGACGACCGACGCACGTTCCTACGACTTGCCAATAAAAACGGGTCAAACGATTCAATTGATACGCACGCTTCTCAAGCTGCTTCTAATCGTCCGAACGGCCATACGAAAACAGTTGTTAGGGAATCCCTCGCTCTGTTCGATAAGGAATGTCGCGTTTCGTACGTTATCGTGTTAATTTTTATTTTATATATGCACATATCTTTTCTCTTCTTTTTTCTTCTAGGTTTTTCTTTTTCTTTTTAATTCTTTTTTTTCTCTTTTTTCTTTTTTTTCTTCGTCACCTTCTCCCACTCCCTTCGCCGTTTTTATTTCCCCCTTTTTTTTTTTTTCTTCTTACACCAGAGTCGATAGTTTCGTTCAAGGTCGTCGAACGCGCACATAGGGGGAGAGGGCTAGGTAGGGAGAGGGGGCCGGAGAAGGGGAGATGGATAGGCTTAATACAATTTCCTTAAGAGATATTTCTCGACGATTATATTACGTTCTTCTTTTGAATTTTTCTGTTGAATTTTTTTCTTTTTTTTTTTTTTTTTTCCTTTTCTTTTTGAATGATCTTAGCCTGGCAAATGTAACGAACACAGATACGCGTAATAAATCTGCACGCATTCAACGTTTATTGATTAAAATATCAACGATCTCGAGGGGGGAGGAGGGGGAAAAAAGACAATGATTTAATTTAAAGAATAGATATCCATGATACAAAACGTGATCGTATTGCAATAAATATGATTTCGACCAATGAAGTAGCGCGATCGCTTCAAGTTCTTTATGATTTCTTCTTTTTCGATTACGTCAAATCAGCTTAGTGAAAGAGGACGGGGATAGGGGGGGCGGGGGTGTGGTGCGTAGTGGTATGGGGTAGGGTGGGGTGGGGTGAGGTAGTCACGTTTTGATTTACACTTTACCCACGTTTCCAGTTTTGTTTAGATATTCATTTTGCACCGTCAAATGTATAAGAAAACTTATCATATTAGATATTCTATCACATTGAATGTTCTAATTAAAGTCTTTTTATTTCCGTAAACAGTGATATATAATGATGCCATTAGTATCGTTATTTATACGGCATTGATTATCTCTGATATGATAATCATAAGGGAATAAATATGAATGATTTGAGATTAATTTGAAATTTTCAAGTGATATTTCTTCCTTGAACGAATTGAACGTTAGACCGTACATAAAACGTACACAACGTATACACATACGTATGACTATCTGAACGTTCCGGAAAGAACTGAAATAGTGATTCGCGCGAAAGATAAGTTTTCTCACGGTGAACGAATAACCAAGGCAGAAAGAGTGAGAGAGAGAGAGAGAGAGAGAGAGAGAGAGAGAGAGAGAGAGAGAGAGAAAGAGAGGCTAACGTCGCGTCGAACTTTGAAAAAAGATTAAAAGATTTTTACCGTTTGATGTCTTATCTGTTTATTATCGTTAAACAAATCGATTTAATCCGACGAATTGTGTGTGTCTATCTGTGTATGTATGTATGTGTTTGTATATGTGTGTGTGTGTGTGTTGAATATTAATCTTAATATCCGATAGTTAATAGAACTTAATAGAAAAATATTTTTATAATAGCGTGAATAAAGGAAATTTAAATTTGAATTTTATCATATCAATTCTTTTACTTTTTTTTTTATAGAGAACTAATGAAACGTAATATACGTATTTACTTAGACATATCGATTCGAATATTGCTATCAATCATTATACTTTTCCTATCTATTTATCTTTCACTCTTTCAAGATATGGATAATATTGTCTTTTTCTATCGTTAATTGATAAATATTATTGATATAAATCGATAGATTTATAGAGATTGATAATAAGATTGTATGATACTTCCTATCTCTTTTTTTATTTCTTATATATATATATATATATATATATATATATATACTTCAACGCGTATAAAAATTTTAATTGAAACAATATCAAATGACAATTCATGTTTAAAATGGAACAAATGATATAATAGAATCAAAATAGGTTGATATCAATCGATCTTATTATCTCATTATCTCATTAACTTCTTTTTTCTTTTTCTCCTTTTTTTTTTTTTCGCAAATAATCCTCAAAAAAAATACTTTCGGTCTCGAAAAGTTTCTTTTCTTTTTTTTTTTTTTTTTTTCCTCTTATCGATCAACCAACCAACTCGAAGTAATTTTTATTAATTCTGATATCAATATTAATCGTGTCTAATTGATAAATTAATATTGTCCAAAACAGCTGGTCTCCTTTGAAATTTCGAACTTGGTCTCATGATTTTACAAGAATCGAAGGCGTTAATTAGTATCGAAGACAAATTGAAGAGAGACAGAGATAGGGAGACAGATATAGGGAGACAGAGATAGGGAGACAGAGATAGGGAGAAAGAGAGAGAGAGAGAGAGAGAAAGAGAGAGAGAGAGAGAGAGCAAGATAGAGGAAGATAAATTTAGTAAGCTCGACACCCCTCAGAAGGCTATATATGGCTC